AGGAGAAGAGACAGGAATAATCTTTAACTGCTCTTGTGCCAAGACTGCTTTTTCTTTCCCAGTGTTATACAGTTTGTATATCCCTTCTAGCTCAGGTGGGGTATGTGAGTAAGGCACATGTTAGAGAAGATTGCTTCCAGGCAGGGTTGCTCCAAGAAGAGAGTTCTGGGGAGACCGTGCACACTGCAGGGTATCCCAGAGCAGCACAAGAACAAGGCAGACTCGCCTTTATGCAAGAATGTGTGAGGGAGGAGGAGCACAAAACAGTGGACTGTGGCTCCCTGCATTTCCTGACTAGAAAAACAACACTGAGGAGAAATTGTTTGCTCACAATTGCCTTGTTGTGATTTTAACAATGGTATCAATTAAAACTAAGATCTTTGCATGCGAGGGTCATGAAAAGGAATGTCATGATACATGGTTGTCCTAACAATGGAATAGAAAATGCCAAGTGACTCCAAATAGGCATGAAATGTATAATGTTTGTCACAACTGACCGAGGCCAAACAGGAACTCAAAACTGATGTACAAAGCTTTTGCATCTTGCTTTTTAATTAGCTAACAAATTAGCTGAAACCAATTACCTGTATTGATTATGGTCAGGAGCAGTTTACTGAGTGTTAACTATATTCCTAAAATAATATCCTCTTTTTCTGGCAAGGTCTGTTCCCATGCATCCCCAGAGAAGTTATTTCCATCATTAATTCTCCTGGGAAGTGTGTTTCCACTACAGAAGCCACACTAAATGTCTCATGCTAAAATGAGAATCACTACAATGCAGGTCCAGGGAACAACAATACAAAGAAGCTGCTCTGTGAGTCTCAGCAGCAGTTTTAGTTCTATTAACACAGACCCTGCCTATGCAGCCTTTGTCAAATAGCATGGTAAATTTGATCTTCTAGTATATTTTTGTCCAGTGACTCAGTTTTTGCACTCAAAACATGCTGAGGTTCAATGCAATCCATGAAGTCTGCTGCCACTTTGCTGCTCTTTTGAATTTACATCTAGATTTGGTTTCTCCCTGCATCTGAAATTGAGATGAGCCTGTAAAATTGGCAGTTCACTAATACCTGAGAAAGAGGGTTTTTTTAATTGACATGGCTCATGTGACTTGTACACTCCATTGCCCTGTTCTTTTTGTGTTTGTGTGTGTGTGATTTCTGCCTATAATCCCAAGCGTGGGTCTTATGTCATAGAGATCAGCACCCAGGAGAAGTAGTAAAAAAATCAAACAAACAATAATAATTAAAAAAATCTAGATCTTTGTTTTCCACATAAATCTTTTGCATGTATATTTCCTGTTTTTTAAATACTAACTGTGCTGGAGAATGGAGGCACTATGACTAAGAAGTAACAGCCAGTGTGCAGCCTCCCTTCCCTGAAGGCTGGCAGTACCAAAGAATCATGGTTAGCCTGAGTGGCTCCAAGGGTGTTGGCTGCAATGTCTGTGCAAGAAAGAAACAGTAGCAAAGAAATGTTAACTCTTGCTTTTCACTCCTGTTGTGAGCCGGACTTTCTCTTACTTTCTGAATGTAGCTTAATTATTTGCTAGACCGTAGCAGTAATGCAAACTTCAACACCTGAGAGAAAACAGTTTCTGTATACACAGGCATGTATACATGTATATATTTAAACTTCTTAAAAGACCTCCTAGCTGTATAGGAGGTTACACAGTGCCTAAAACAGTTTTAAAAAGCATCTGGGCAGACTTTTTCAAAGGCATCTAAAATGCCTTGGAAGATCTCAGCCTTTGGTACTTTGGAAAAGCTACCTGTGCTCTCTGCTCCCAGCTGATACCCCCCCAAAGGAATCCTGCCTCTCGCAAGAATGCTGGCACCTGTCTCCAGTTTTCCTCCTTCCACATTGTCCTGTCTCCAGCTGGATGGACGTCTCGTGCTAAGACTATGGCACAGGGGAAGAAATGGTCTTGCAGTCAGCTGGCTCAGTGATCAAGTGGGGAGGTGTTAAACTAGATGGGCTGTGGAGTACACAAAGGACAGGAAGAAGCTGCTGGGCTTCTACTCACCTCTGGTCATGCTGGTTTGTGTTACTGAGCTGTCAGATAGGTGAGTGGTGTTCACTCCTGGATATAATTTGCTGTAACAATCTAATTAGGAAGGAGCAGTGGATTGAAGTGTTCCAGGCAGGTCTGCACCACAGGATTCACCAGTCCCTGAGCTGGGACATGTTTTCCCTTCATGGTGTGCTTCTTTAATGGGACTTGGACAGTGGTCTGACCTCAGCGTCTGCTCGTATCTCTGAATCCTCCTTTTAACAAAGTGGGCTGTGGCAGTATTTTCCAGATGACTTCTCAGCAGCATCAAACAAGTCTCCATTATTTCCTGGGACTTTGCATGCCTCTGTTCCAGCCCCTCGGCTCCATTAGAGCCATCCTCCTTCCAGAGGTGCTGGTGTCTATGAAGACAGCTGCATTGGATCTCCAGTGTCCTTACCTGCCCCTGATGACTCCCTGGTGAGGAGCTGCTCTGCTTTTTGCTGTCACTGAGTAAGCCTGACTTGCCAGGTCTGTCCCACGTCCTGCACCAGTGCCCCACTTTGGCAACAATCTGGCTACAAGTCCTTAGAAAGTTTCTCCAGTGCTCTCCTCCTCATTACAGCTTGTGACATACCTGATGGGCTGAAGCTGCCACCTGCAACCTTCAATCTGTTTGAGCAAAGACTCCTGGAGACTGGAGCCAGAATGGGAGGAAAGAGCAGCTCCTAGGAGGGACATGCCAGTGCCTGAGGTGGCTTGTCTGCATGAGTTGTAAGGTAGATGATGGTATTTCTGCCTCTGTAGAACGCTGGACTGCCCAGTCAAAACTTTACTGGCATAATCTCAGATCATCTAATATTGTCTTAGCATTACATCATTTTGGAGCAACAGGTCATGATGTTAGAAGAAGTTTGTGCTGGAAATGGACTGTCTCGTGGCAGGAGATTAACGTAAGGAAACTCACAGCTGGAAAAGAGAGAGTTAACAAGTAAGTATTTCACTTTAGTCAGTCATGCCACAAGCTCCCATATACCTAAGCATGTTGTTATAGCAAACGTTTGTGTGGGTCTTAGGACAAGAATGTCTCATCAGAAAGCCTAAGGTCAGCTTAAGTAATTTAAATAGCAGGTTTTGCAAACCCAGTTCCTTGTGATGCAAGCCCAGAGCTCATCTGAACTCACCCAGGACAGTTAGCAGAAACGATTTGGCAGGTTTCAAACTAGCAAATGAAGAAAACATTGCTGCAAAAACCTGCTGGCTCTCATGTAAATCTACATGGACAAAAAAGATTCTCCTGCTGCTTGCATGTGAGTGTTGGTGGCTTTAAATGTAAGCACAGTGTGCTGAAAAAGCCTTTCATAATTCTGAAGCAGCAATGACTGATACACTTGTGTGCTTAAAAAAACCCAAACACATTCCTGTAAGTAAAATATAGAATGATACAAGAGAGATATATGTGGTTTTCCTGTCACAGCATGAATGCACAGGAGGTTTTACAGCTGTATGATACATGCAGGGGGAGCGGGGAGGGAGCAGTTAAGAACATGACCATAAATTTAATTTGGGGACTGGCTGTTCTTTGCCAAGCCAGTAACTATGCAATGTGTCTGTTTAATCTTCAGGGTGCTGCGGAGAAGCTTCCACTGGCAAGTTATTTGCTACTTTTGCTGCTTCCACATCAATGATGACTATGAAACCATCAATACTGAAAGGACAGCAACTGCATGTCAGTGCACCCATCAGACAGACGCGTGTGTTCTCCAGCAGGAAGCAAGCACGTCCAGCGAAACCAGCTCTTTGTGGTGCCTGATCTAACTTTACAGCAGTATTTCAAGTGAGACTTTCTTTTCTGACTGGCAATGAATACACTCAGATCTTGCTTCTTTGCTGTCCTGATTCTCAGTGTTTCACTTCCGTTCGTTTTCTATGCAATTAATTTGCACACACAAAAATCTCTTAGGAAGTTGAATTTCTCAGCGAGTTCGACCTTAGAAGAAGCCTGTACAGCACTTATTGAAGGTAAGGAGACCTTTCTGAAGGAGAACGCTTTAGAAACATGGTTCAGAGAATCCAGCTGCATGGAGTACATTGCGCAGAACCGCTACATCACCCGCGCACTCTCCGCTGAGGAGGCCGCCTTCCCCATCGCCTACGTCATGACCCTGCACAAGGAGTTTGAGACCTTTGAGCAGCTCTTCAGGGCGGTCTACATGCCCCAAAACATCTACTGCATCCACGTGGATGCCAAGGCGCCCGCCCGCTTCCAGCAGGCAGTGGGGCGCCTGGTGGGCTGCTTCCCCAACGCCTTCCTGGCCTCCCGGGCGGAGCAGGTGGTCTACGGCGGAGTCTCACGCCTGCGGGCTGACCTCCACTGCATGAGGGACCTGCTGGCCTCGGCCGTGCCCTGGCGCTACCTGCTCAACACCTGCGGCCAGGACTTCCCCTTGAAGACCAACCGGGAGATCGTCCGGCTGCTGAAGGGCTTCGGGGGGAAGAACGTCACCCCCGGGGTGCTGCCGCCCCCGCATATCACCTCCCGCACCAGGTACGTGCACAGGGAGCAGCTCTACTCCTTCTTCTCCTTCATGCTATGGACGCCGGTGCGCAAGGCTCCCCCGCCACACAACCTGACCATCTACTTTGGCTCTGCCTACGTGGCTCTCACCCGGCCCTTCGTGGAGTTTGTGCTGCGGGACCCACGGGCCATCGACCTGCTGGCCTGGTCTGAGGACACCTACAGCCCCGACGAGCACTTCTGGGTGACGCTCAACAGGATCCCGGGTGAGTTCAGCTTCGCTTTTGGTTTCTACAGATACATCCATGCACACACGCACACCCAGGGACACGTATCTCAGGCTGATTTTGGCAAAGCCTAGATGAAAAATTTAATCAGCTCATAATTGATATTAAAGGCTGATCTGTCAAATAAGCTTATTTGCCCTTTTCAACCCCTGAGGGAGAGATGACCATGCCATGCAGGATTAACACTCTGCAGCTGAGCAGGAAGAAGACCAGTGGATCTAACTTAGAATTTAAATCCTTGGGCATTTCAGCTGATTTAAGCCTTTTACCTGTGAAAATTGAGATGAAGAAAAGGGAAGGAATGAAGACAAAACCACTCAAGCCATATAAGCATTGTAGTGAAGGTGTTATTTTTTAATAAGATGTGTGTTTTGCTGGAGATAATTTGATTTTTCCACAAATAGAAGTCAGTTCCTCCCCCTCTATCTACTATTCCAAGGCCAAAAAAGTTCAGGCTGGAATCTGCTTATAGCCTTCACATGCCTTTCTGTGGGTGCACACATATGCACACACACCAGCTCACCCATAATACCAGCAAAACCCCATGTACATGTAACTACTGTCTAAACTCCATTGTACAGGGTCAAGGATTTGTTCAGAGAAGAAGAATCACAGACATAATTTTAATCTTCACCTTCTACATTTACAATTAGTTTTGCCTTGTTCTTACAATTGGGAAAGGGTCAGAAGATGCATGGGACTTCTCCCCCATGCATATTTCTTTTAGAAGCACCTGGTAGGACTTCACTGCACCCAACTCCTTAAAGCTGCACAGCAGCCCAAAGCAGGGATATTAGGAAAGGAAGCAAGGATTAATTTCTTCTTCTGCTTTTTTCTTTCTACCCTCTTCCTACTGTAACTTGTGGGAAACAAAAGCATGGAGCAGTAATGGAGATGCAGATCATGTCTGCTTTACCCTAAGCAGCAGACTGAGGGCCCATTTCTCAAGACAAGTCTGCTTTCAAATGATCATGTAAACTCTCTCTGAGCATAGGTCTTGCTCTTCTGATAACTGTATTTTACAACTGGCATGCACAAAATACACAAATGATTACTGGTTGAGATATTTATGCTATAATCCTCAGCATATATTATTTGTAGTTAGCTGACTTTCCCAGGAAGCTGGCTGCTGTCATTTTATAGTCCATTGCCTCAAAAGAATGAAACCTGGGACTAAATGTGTACCCCACAATCAGAAAGCTTTAGATGGTTGCCATTTGTTGTACTGCACTGTGTAGCTTACATAGGCTGCATATTGAATTTATTTCCATCATCATCACTGTACATCTTCCAGTGTTGCACACTGCCTTAATATTCTTTGGTGCTTGTACTCTTTGCTTCAGAAAGAGGAATAAAAAAATTATGAAACATTTCCACACCAGATACGCTTCCTTCTGTTTCCTTGTTTTCTCTGCCCTGACTTTAGGGTGAACAACAATGGCTACACAGCTCTCACAGATGTAGTCAGGGCTGCCCTTGTTCAGGATTTTTAATCCAAACTTGTAAGCATAGCATGGAGAGTCTCACTTGGTCATACCTGAGCCAGATTCAGAGCTTCGAGCAACTCTGAGGTGAGAAGTCCCTTTCAGTGCATGGGACTTGGTTCCTGGCTCTAACAAAACCCCCTTGTCCTAGTATGACCAAGCCCCTTCCTTTAAGCTTTTCATGCATATGAAGGGAGATAATCATGTCAAGCAGTGGTCCAGCTGCTAACAGAAATAGCTGGAGGCTGCCAGGCAAGTGTAGAGATCATTAAAGGACCAGTTTGGATGTACAACATATAATGAAATAACTTAATAAAACAGATATTTGTAGTTTCAGCCAGCTGTTATAATCTTAGTTCAGATAAAAGATTATTAAAAAGATGGTTTGGTCCCCAAATCTTAAACCAGCTGATTTCCCAGAGCCATACAATGAAGATCAAGATTTTAATTTTTATTTTTTTAGTCCCCTAAAGACTAGAGAATTTCAATTTCCCCTCAGTTGTTTTAACATAACATTCTTAACTTATCCTTGGTATTTATCTCAGGCCATATGACTCCTGTGCAACAGAAAATTATTGAAACTCGCTCTTTAGATAATGAAGAAAAGCATGGAGAAATTAAGGAAAAGTATTTGCAAAGTATGTAGGCTTGAAGTGACTGGCCTTAAACCACTTCCCTCAGGTGACACAAGAAGGATGCACCACCATAGTGCAGGTTTGTGGCCACATCCTAGGCCAGCAGTCCCACCACTGGGCCACCTTTCCCCTCTCTGCTCATGTAGAGCAGAAAGCAGATTCTGGTCACTGTGGGAGAGCTGTGCATCCACAGTCCATCCTACCGAGTCCTACCGAGAGGTCAGTCTTACTGAATCCTCTTCCAACCTAAAATCCTATCCCCACTTTCATGAGATGGGGTCACAGCATATGCTTGACTTCGGATAAAGGCAGTCTCAGGTAATAACTCCTCAGGGTGCACACTGATGTGTACATTGACATATGCATATGCTGCTCCATTAGTAACTTGCACATGGCTCAAGTGGGAATATAAAGCTCAAGAGAAGTAATAGCAGCACTTTTTATTCAGAGACACCAACATGCTTTGCAAGGGGGATCAGTACTGTCATTTGCCATTCACAGATGAAGGCAGAAAAGGGCAAAATTATATTCCCAGTGTTCTAAACCAGACCATGGGCAAAGCCAGCACTGAAGCACTAACATCTGACTCCCAGTCTAATGCGCTGGATCAAACTGATTTTCCAGAATTGGCTCACCTGCAGAATAACAGAGTGTGGTTGCACTGTTGCTTCTGCATCAACCCTGTTTCTTTACTAAGGGTGAGGTTGCACATGATGACTGAGCTCTAAAAGCTCATTGTTGCAAAAATAGGACACTTTCTCCTGCCTTCTGCTCTTCCCTTCCAACTCCCTTCTGCCTATCAGCCCTGTCCAGGAGTTTTACAAGTTCAACTCACTATCTCTGAAGAAAAACAATCTACCTTTTTTCTGAGCCTGTGAAATGGATTGACTTGATGAAGAATCTGGTCAGCACTGAAGGCAGCACAAAGAAAAGCTGGGGGTGAAGATGAAGATGTGAGAAAGGAGAGAAAAATGGGAAGGAGAGGAGGAACAGTAGCCGAACCTTCCCCTTTCAGTGATGTTGAGCCATGTGTCTGGCTCACACCACCTTCTACAACACCACTTGCATGCAGACACTTTTTTACCTTCTGAGATTGGAAGGGAAGAGCAGAAATATTTGAAGGTATTGCATGTGTTTTATCAGTATCAAGTTTCTGTAGAATTTTCATCCCAATACAGACAAGAAACGTATTTAGGGAATACAATACTGCTAGTTCAACATATTTTTGTTATTGCATTTAAGGCATATTTCTAGGAAATGAGGATATGGAAACACAAACTTTCAAGTCCCAAGGGATAAATCACTATTACAGACTTTGCCTGTTTAAAGCAGCTCAGGCCTTTGTGCTAAAGCTTTTACCCATAGGAAGTTCTCTCACATTGATCACAGCGAAACAAGTCATAGCTTTGTCTGCCTTAATCTTCAAGATTATACCATGCACACCCTCCAACTGACAAGCAAGTACATGGAAATATTCAAGAGTGCATCCTCAAAGCCAAAATAAATATTTTAAAAGGGCTAGCCCACAGTCTGAAGAACAAATGTCATCTGTGTACCATGGGTAGTTTACTGCAATATCCTGTAAAAATAGCATCCATTTTTTACTTTAAAATTTTTGCTGCTGGCACTGAGTTCATCTATATGGATGATCCTTCTGTCTTAAATTATCTGGGTTAACATCAGCCTGGAAAATGTAAAAAAGTGTATTTGTAATCAGTCCTGGCCCTGGGTCACTTCATAGTCCTATAAATGGCTGTGCTGGCAGGACTGAAGGGGCTTGGTGGTTATGGAAATCAACAGTCAGGGTGTTTCAGGGACAGGGAACGAATCTCCAGTGGCAAATGGTATGTAAAAAGGCTCCCAGATCATTTTAATTACCAACCTCATTGCTTCTTTCAAAACTGTGACTGAATGCGGTTGTGTAACTGCGAAGCAAGTCTCTTCCTTGCTTTCCTGCACCTGTTTTCCAAGTTTCTTGTTCAGGTTTCATTTTGGGGAAATCCTCCCAAATTCAAGCCTGCCAAGAAGGTCCTATTTCATCCATACGAGAGTGCTCATCATGTTGCTGTTACTAAGTAAGGCCTTTCCCAAAGTGCTCCTTGACAGCCTTTCAGCAAGTTGGCATCTGTTATATTTGTCCAGTTACAAGACAGTAGAAATGTTACTGCAGCCTGGGAAATCCACCTGAGGTGTTGCCTCTCTACTCTTTTTATCCTTCCCTTGACCAGCTACTTAGGGTGGCAGCTGTACTCAGGGTGACTTGCTTCACTGGGGTACATGCAACAGCTTCTGCCTTGCAGCAGGGACAGCAGTGTTTTAATAGACACTGTCTTTAATGTCAGAATTGAACCAATATGCATGGAGATGCTGTACCACTGAAAAGTACATTAGGTCTTTACCTATTTATTAATGAACAGTTGCCAGCAGAGCATCCTCCTCTCCACAGGGCTTCTGAAAAAAGCCAGCCCTAGAGGTTCCCTTCACTCTGTTCACTAGCAGATGAGAAGGACCTCTCTATTCCTAGAAGCAGGGGTTGTTACATCTGGGGCCATGTCTACAGCTGGATTTAGAAGCAAACTGCAATCAAGATTCAAGAAATTGTGTGAAGAAGCAGAGAAGTTTTGGAGTGACTCTTCTTGGAGAACTCTGGAAAGGCACTATGAGGTGTTGCATTGCAATATCCAAGCTGGCCAAACGCTACAAGCAGTGTAGGCACAACAAGAAACTCAGCTATCAGAAGGAGAACTTGGGTTCTGATGTTTTTGGGGAAGAATTATTCCTAGCAGGATGCTGTGCCACTGGAATTCACTGTGTAACTCCATGGAAACTGCATCAGCATAACTGAGTCATAACATGACTG